ACCTACAGACATCAATAATTTTCACATTACTATAGTATTGTATTTTAAATAAAGGAACTATAAAATATTTACAATCCATTACATGCAATTAAATTAAAATACGTCATTTTGTTCAAGTACGACGTAATAACACAATTGTCTGAATCGTAACAGTTACACTTGGCCGTACATTATTAATGTAATATTAAGTTAAATTAAACGCGGATTCGCACATGCGAGATATTCGGCCGTCGGCAATTTTAAGCGCATAACATTAACGACGTGTCGCACGGTGTGGATCGAAAATTCCTTCTATAAATCGACCGCGACGATTACACGGCCATTACCTTAATTGCTGACGTCGCTAACGTGCGTATTCACGCATGTATAGTTATTCGGATGGGCCACGCTCAACGTACGGGTCACCATATCCACCATCGGCGTTTGCTATTGGTTCAGCTTGCCATTCCCGAGAGAGACGTAGTTCTCGTGAGTGTCATGTCGAATTGCACGGGTCAACGGGATCCAGCGAGTTAAACGAGCGGATCTGGTTGGAAACATCTACATCAACGCGATTGCGTACAGAACATTAAAACTTGGTGTATGATCTGCAAACAGAGCCTGTAACGAAACTTCAACCTTGAACTCGGAACGTGAATTGGAAGCGCGAGTGGAATAACAGTTACTCATCCTAAACTTAGCTGAGGACTCCAAGGACTCCAATAATCAACGAATTTTATCGGATTTCTACCTCGCGAGATGACATCTTCGACGGAAGTTGCATCTGAATATTTTTTGTTAAAGTTTCTCTACGAGAGAAAAAAAAAATCTAAATTTAAAAGTGTAAATACTGAAATGCAAGTTATCGTAGATTTTGCGTTAAAATTTGTAAAAATGTTAGTGCGTACACGAAAAGAACAGTTTTGCTAAAATATCGAAAAATTTAATTAAATACAGATCTAAAAGTAATTTTAGACCCTCAACATAATTACGTAGCTTAAGCATTAACAACAATGCTGCAGAAAGTTTTAACATTCTAGCAAACAACTTCAGTATCCTGCATAACTAATTTGATGGTCCAAACAAAATTATTTTCAGATCTGTATTTAACTAAACTTTTAGATACTTGAACAAAACTATTCTCTCTATGTAAATATAATATATAGGCTCTACTGATTCTAATGAGTTAAACTAAAAAGAATATCACTTTTATTTTAATCCTAATAAATTTAAGTCTAATTTAAATTTTTTAAATACACAAGATTGAAGACTAAGGAAATTTTTATCAAATTAAATCCAACGTGAAAAGCGTAAACACGGCGTATGATACTTCAGCGCATTCAGCTTCACTCATTAATAATTAACACGTACGATAGGTCGAATGCCTGTAAATTCACGCCAAGTGTATCACAACGAGCAACTTCGATTAGAAATTCCTGAAGGATTATCCACGAATATGTCCTACCTTTAGAAAGGCATCTAACCGAATATAGCCGTGGCTTGCGCGTAAATTATGCACTACGACGCATACTATGCGTCGTATTGCCCGTCCATTATCGAAAGCGCGCAACAACGAGCTACAGGATGAGATGCCAAGGCGTGCAATAATATCGCTAATAACTTCCATCCCATTAACACCATACCTCATCTTTCTCATAATTGACGTTCTCGACAGCATTACGTGACACTTGAGATAGAACCTTGTCATACAATACGACAGTGAAACAGGATTATTTCAAACTGTATGGATTGTATACATATGCACATACAATTAAGGGCTTCATATTTCTTCGGGAGATAGTCCAGAATGTGTCAAAAACATGACATATGACATCAGTTTTTTTAAATTAAAAGCAAAATAAAAGATTTATAATGATCTATCGCAGATAATACCGCATGTTTCTTCTTTAATCTTAATGGATTAATAAATGACTAATAAATAATAATGAATAATAAATTACTAACGAGCATCTGTTAATTACCTGCGTGACATCAAAATTTTGTGACACAAAAATATATATGCAAGTCAATAGATAAAAAAGTTGATTTACTTTTGTGTGATTTACTTTAAAATTTAATACGTGAGGAAAAAAAACGCGTAAAAATATACATATATATATGTGGCCTGTTCAAAATAATTATATAATTATTTGAATATTCTCGTGCAACAGCTGTATTTCTGTAATCATAACGAGACTATTAAACTATTCTTTAAATTTAAATAAACTTCCTTACAATGTGAATTGCTATTTTTACGGTGTGACCAAACAATATCCACCCTGATCAAAATTGAAAGAATTGTATACCGTTGCAGAGAGCTCATCTCTTATTAAACAATAGTATACACAATACTCGGCACATTTATAGAATAACATTACGCGGATGATAATATGGAGCAAATTGATTCGCCACACGACACAAGTGTCAATAAACGAGAACACTGAAGAAAAAGTGAGTACGTGTGACAATAACTGCATTTTTATTGAATTTGGATTACAAAAATGCTAGACCGGAGACAAGCCGATCTGGATGACAGTGATATCCAATGAGTGCGTGGGTTATTGCAATGAGTAATAACAACGCTGACCTCGTATATCATCGTTAATTCATCAGAATGACACTATTGTTACAACAGCTGTTGAGAGGAGAAAGGGATAATTGATCAAGTGACAATCGCGAGAGAGATCAGAAGTCGCGAGAGCCAACAGCGTTCAATGAAAGGCGCACAAATTTTCCATAAAAGACCTGTCCGAGCCACGGCTGCGTCGCAACTTAAGAGCCCGCATACATTTACACGGTTTTATGCGATAACCTATAAATTGGAATTAACCGGAGAGTGGTATGCATCCGAGCGAGTTTGGAAGCTTTCCAAAAACGTAGACGCGTTATTGACGCTGCGGATCGAATAAAATGCGGGACACGGAAAAGCGCAGCAGCGCATACGGCACGGCGCGATGGCGCAAGGTGAAACCAAAAATCGTCGAGCCTTGTTAAAGAAAAATAAATAAAAACGAGAAAAACGGGAAAAGCACGTAACGGGTTGTGCCGTATCCGGTGCGTACACAGGTGCGGAGCAGTATGGCGCTTAGCTCGAACGTGGCATGCCATTATGTTGCGAGTTTATGATACCGGCGTAACCGGCTATATCCTCGACTGTGCCGGAACGACAGAAAAATATAACCCAGTACGTCGTTATAATTAGCCCTCCATTACGCTTAACATCCATTAACGTCGTTAATTTCGAAGCGCGGCAGATATAGACTAAATCGAAGGGCCGTGTTTCAATGTGAGAGCCGTGCAAGCGTGAAATTTCGTCGATGCTAAATCGAGCGAATCTGCCATTTCGATGTCAATTAATATTCCACGCTCCGTTTTGTACTAATCGCTCACAGGAAACTCCATTCAAATGGAACGCCAACTTAAGTTCCCGCTAAATGTAAACGCACGATACGCTTTGAAATTTATGTTCTATTCCACTATCAAGATTATATGAATTGACGCAACGTTTTTCAAAAAATCTATCTCAGAAAAAGAGAAGAGAAAGAGAGAGGGGGGGGGAGAGGGGAGAAAATGAATAAGTAAGTGAGTAAATGAGAATAGAAATGTAATTGCAATTTTGTTCAAATTGCGCAAAAATAAAACGACATATTAAAATAGACTGTCTTCATCCAAATACGCAAAATAACATGGAATAATAT